GCTGCAGTTCCTCTGACGTCCAGCGGGGGCAGCAGTGAGTCGCCCCCATGTTACAGCCTGATACACAAACTGATTGGTGTCTAGAAATAATGTTGCCCTTCACAGCAAACGTACGGGGACGATGACTTTATAACTCACCTGTTTAAAGTTTGCATGGTTATGGGCGTGGCCTCTTTGACTAACAGGTGGAGGCGGCGGCTGTAGCTGCTAGCTGTCTGCTAGCCTGAACATCTGAGGATGTTCACGCTCGCTGAGCTTTTCTTCCTCGCCGTGTTTCTGTGTCGATTAACAACTTAGTTGGATTATTGTCTCACGCTGACGTAATTGTCTCTAAATGTCATTTGTGTGTAAATCTGCGGGACGATTATGATCCACTCAGCGAGCTGCTTTTGTTCTGCTCGCCATCAGACTGATGAAAATAAAAAGGCACAGAAGATTACAGAACCATTAACGTCTCTGCCACCATTAACTGATAAACAGCTATTAGAGGCTTACAGATGAAATTACATATATGGAGCAGAGTGAGGAGGAGGAGGGTTAGGGTCCGACTTCATTCATGAAGGTCTGAAAGTGTGAGAGTGAAAACGAGTCAGTTCAACTTCTGATCCTGAATCTTTCACCTGAAGAACACGTGCGTCTCTTTGCATCACAGCATGTTTGTGTCTCTTTCTTGTGTGTTGGCAGCTTTTGGTGCATCTTAGATTTGTTATTTGTCTTTCTGCTCGTTTTCATCACTTCTGTCTCTGTTGAGCTGATCCTTTTGCGCCTTTGTTCTTTGTGTCTAAGCCAGTTCTGCTTCTCTGCAGTATTTGTGAATCATGTCCAGGTCAATGTGAGCATCTTTCACATTTCTTCAACCTTACACACTCTTGTGGTTTTTCCTCTTCATCATACGTATTTTTCAAGGCTGTATGTTGCGTGGAGCAGGATTAGACACTAACACTGAAATGCTGCAGAGCACTGAATGGAAACTATGCTGTGGCCAATCAGAGCCTGAGCTGTTTGTGATTCCAGTGATGCTGCAGTTCGCTAATTTTACAAAGTTAAAATCATTTTAACAACATTTACAAATTCAATTAATCATTTTAATTTGATCTTTTTTATTATATATAACAATAACCTAAGTATAATATATATAATAGAAAAGAATCATTAGCTTTTCTTTATTATTATTATTATTGCCACGTCCACGCCGCACACTATGACGTCATCACACGGCGCCTCGTCGTTGACGGAAGTCCAGAATGAGTAGATGTGAAGTGACGAAGAGGAGGAAAGTGACCGGGTTGTTTGGTTAACGGGAGCCGCCGCTCACGGTTTCTGCTCGGTACGTCAACACTCGTTTGTCCCCGCGCCAGGACGCTGTTAGCCTGATGCTAGCCTGCAGCTAACCGGCTGATGCTAGCGGGCTCAGCTAGCTGTTAGTATCCGAGAAACTGCTGCTACAAACACGGAAACGTTTATTTTCTGCCTTTTCTGTTTAAAGTGACTCATACAAAATGTGTTTCACCTAACAAAACAGCGAACGTGATTCCAAACCAAACTCCATTTAAAAAACTGCCAGTTTAACATTGTTTGCATGCCAGCTTAACATGCGTCCTGTTTTCCTGGCAGCTGTTCGTTTCAGTAAGCTAACCTGAAACATGAACTGCTTAGAAATGACTTCACACTAGACTCCTTATTCCAGTAGAGTGTGTAGCTTTTAGCGAGCTTGTTTGAAGTGAAGTGGTAGATGTTGAAGTTTATTCTGTGTGTAGAGACGCTGTGAAAGGTCTGCTGTCAAATGTGATTGTTAAATCATTTCCTCCAGGGATCAATAAAGTGTTCTGATAAATGTGGATATTGTGTTCTGTCTTTGGTCACCAGCTCTTGCATCTGCACACAGAATGAGAGGCGATGAAGAGACCAAAGCTGGCCGCAGCTTTCCTCTTCGTGTGCTGCCTGTTTGCCTACCTGATGTTCGTTAAGCATCACTACTCCACCTCCAAACCGGAGGCCTACAGACTACCTCCTCACCGCCAGCCCGACTCAGACCTCAGCGCAGATGACGGGCCCACCTCTGATGCTGGACGGCGCTTCCAGTACGGCATCATGTTTGATGCTGGGAGCACTGGGACCAGAATCCATGTCTTTAAGTTCCAGATAGAGGACAAAGGTACAGCTGAACAACCAGTGTAACTCACACCAGACCCCATTCACATATCTGATGATAGCACGATGTAGTTTGCCTGATGTATCTTCAGACTCTGTAAATGTCAGAGTGCAGCTGTGTAGTCACATATCTACACTCCCTACGCCACATAAACGGATTCCCAACCAAAGTCCATTCAAATATCAGTGAATTTAACAATCTGTCGATAAATACACGGACTCAGACAGACTCCTGTTTTTTAGATCTGTTTGGAAATTTAAAATCCTGCAATCCTGCACCAAACTCCATTTAAAAACTGCAGTTTTTGCTGTAACCACTCTGGATTTATTTCTTTATTAATTTTGAATTTTTACACAATAAATGCATTTTAGCCATTTTGTAGGTAGCTTACATGACTTTTAAGTCAAATATCCGTTAATCTGGAACTCCATCAGACTCCAACCCGATCAGAAAACTGAGAAATAGCGTGAATAATATGGTGGCTTTGAGAAACTCCTGACATATCTGAATATTTGATGTTGGTATTTTCTACAGCAACCACTGTGTATGCAGCAACGAGACACGTTGATGTTGACGCTTTGAATCTTTTTACATTTTCGTTTCAATTTAAAGGAACTCGATGGCGTCCACTGTGACTCCAAACCAAACTCCATTTAAAAACCTTCAAGTTTAAGTTGAGTTTGTGTGAATTTGAATGATGAATATTTAATGAGAGTATGCGTGTGTTGTTGTTTTAGTAGCAGCTGATATTAATGTGTATCAGGGTGTGTGGGTGTTAAAGCTCTATGTATACATCCTCTCAGATCATATAGTGCTGCTTTTAGTGTATTTAAATCCACATGTTGGCTCCGAGCATTAATTACCAGACGTGAATCCGTGCAGACAAGAGGAGCTTTCAGCCTTTAAGTCCTGCTGCAGGGAGCTGCTGCCAGTTCAAATGGACACAAACTCATTAGTGTGTTTTAGAGCTTTCTGGTTTATTAGGCTTAGAGAAAGTTTCCTGCAGCGCTCGGCCAAATGCCTTCGTTATCGCATTTAAGCGCTAAGCTAAATCACACAGGCTGAGTGCTGTCTTGGCTCCTTTGTTAGCATCGCAGCTAACTGGACTAATGGCAGCACCTGTTAGTTATACATGCTGGGATTGTCATTAAGAGCTTAATGACAGCTCAAATGTAGGCACAGGTCCAGGGTCACTCGGTCACTCAGTGAAATTCAATTAAATGCGCCGACGTATCGCCTCTTTTATCTGTTTAAAGCTCACAGTCACATAGTTTTATCTTTTTTCCCGCAGGAGCTCCAAAGCTGGCCCAAGAGACGTTCAGAGCCATCAAACCAGGGCTGTCAGCGTACGCCGACGAGCCGCAGCAGGTAGGGCGCACACGAGGGGCCACGGGAGGGCTGCACGGGTCCCACACTGGGCTCAAAGACGCTCGAATGGGCCGACTGACTGAACCTACAGCAAACAGCCCCAGAGTGACGTTCAAACACTGTCTGCTTAGGAAGTGTGCAGTTATCAGCGCTGATGTTCAAACAAACAAACAAACAAGTTCCCCGACACGCTCACATTTGTGAGTGAATATTTGTAGAGTTGGTGCACCGAGTGTAGTTTTGAACCTACAGTCCGACATAAAGACTGAGCATGCTCAGAGCCTCCCTCTGTGTCCAGTGCACTGCAGGGATCGTGGAGCTCTTGGAGGTCGCCAAGTCCAGCGTCCCCCCTTCGTACTGGACCTCCACCCCCGTGGTCCTGAAGGCGACGGCTGGGCTGCGTCTACTTCCTGGAGAGAAAGCCGACCAGCTGCTGGACAGAGTGAGACTCACACGTCACCTGATCTCATCTTTATTATTTCACGTTTCAGTTTTTAAATTCTTTTATTTATTTCGTATTGTTCAGACTTCATATTTTATAAAAATCATTCAAATTTTTGAATAAATTTTTTCCCTCATTGCAGTTTTTATTTTCCTGTATTTCTAAATGGAACAGCTACACTTTGGGTTTTTTCAAAATAAAACGATAACTCCAGCACAGATGTTTAAAATGATCAGGTATCGATCAGGTCAGACTGATAACTCCTCTGGCTGCTCCTCCTCCTCCTCCTCTTCATCGTCATGTTGGAGCCAGAACAGAGAAAGTCTATTAAATCTTTTAAGTAATCAGTAATAACAGGACTACAGCAGCGAGCCAGAATGTGGTTTAATCTGAGGCTTTGCTCTTATTATCAGACGAGCTCTGGTGCTGCAGATTATGGGGGGGGGGGTCATTTTTACAAAAATGCATCATTAAATATTAGATTATATTTAAACAGAGATCACTGATTGATGGGAGGCAGAAATAAAACTGTTTCACTTTGTGAAGCTCAAAGATCGTTTGCTTCGTGTCCAGGTGAGGGCGCTGTTCCTGGAGTCTCCCTTCCTGTCCACAGATGACAGCGTGTCCATCATGGACGGCACTGATGAAGGTAAGATGCTCTGATTGATCAGCCCGCACACTCCTACTTTCTAAAGATGACCTTTGTTGTGAAAATATTTCACAACAGAAGCCTCGTTTGCTGAGGGCTTTTAATGTGAAATGCATACAGGAAGTGTTGAGTTCCTTATGCAGCATCTTAGCGGTGTGGGATAGGCCCCGTGGGCCGGCGCTGGCTCCCGGGCTGAGATGAGGTCATGCGCAGCTGAAGAGAACGCCGCAGAGCATGACGGCACAGAAACAGGAAATAGATCCACCTGGAGCGATCTGAGGGGAGTTCCTGGAGGGTCGTGACCCCTCGCGAGGTCTCGCCCTGAGCGGGATCTTCATCTCGTTATGACATTATTAGATCAGAGGGAATCTGCAAGTCTCCTCGGGTTTAATCTGTGACGGTGATGAACCGAGCTCCGGCTCTGATTTCCCCAACGGAAAGCGTCAATATGGAGGATTAAAGAGGAGACGACGGGGGAGGCGGAGCTCGGCCTGCTGCTCAGCGTTTGTTTTGTAGACACTTCCTCTCTACAGTTACAGGAAAACATGATCAGGCTCCACAGCGAGGCAGCAAATCTGTTTAATTACTGGGTGAAAATCATCCAGTACTATAAACTGGGAGGGGCGGGGATAAACCAGTAGGTGACAGTGTGACGCTGACCACATGACTGAGGTCAGTGAGGATGTTCGTCACCGCAAGTTTCAGTTCAGGGCGGCGTGGGTATCCAACTTTGAGTACGAGAACGAGGCGATGGCGTCGGTGACATCAGCCATGCGACGCACACACAGAGGCGGCGAGGCTGGCCGTGAGGGTCAGACTCTCGTTCACCGCCACATGAGCCTCGTTCACACGGGAAGCTTTTTTCTATGTCGAAATTCGGCCTTCAGTATCGTGCAGGAGCTGAACCCCCGACCTCCTGATTGGCTGACGACCCCACTCTACCTGCTGAGCCACACCCACGGTCAGCGAGGAGAGAGGCGGAGATAATGTTTCCTTTCAGAAGCCTCTGTTTTTAAGAGGCAGAGCGCACAGTGTACTTCCTGTTTCACATGTTTGATTCCTGTAAATCGTCCAATCAGGATGCAGAGTGAAGGTTACCCAGTGAAGTCTGATCAGAAGTAAAGTGCATCTGCTTATTCAGGTCAACTCAAAGATGACTTTAGTGTCCGCGGTGCAGTATTTGCACTCAGCTGCATCCATTAGTGCCTTTTAGCAGCGACCTCTGACCTTTGGGCATGCAGGAGTGGGTGATTACGGGGCTTGGTACAAACTGTATCATAGGGGCTTTACCATAAAACTCTTAGCCCGATACGCTAAGAAGCAATTTCCTAACAAAACAAACAAGAGGCGGAGAAAGGCGGCTAAACACGGGCACTTAGCACCCGGCCGCCTCCCAGGAACCACTCAGAGGTCCCATTAACAATAAGTCGCTTCACTCGGACGGGCCCAGGGTAATCTGAGCCGGGATAAGCATGCTGGCCAAGAACGGCACAACATCTGAGCCACAGTCAGGCTGCGGGAGTTCAGACAGACCTCTGAAAGGACAGTTTAGTCGGGAACGCCGCACAGGACTCTGTCCATTAGAGGAAAAGCAGAGATCATTAAAAGACGAGCAAGGACGAGCAGTGATCCCGCTCAGGAGAAAGAGAAAAGATTTCAGAAATAAACGGGACACATAATCCCCCCGTTAGATTAAGTGGGACATTATCCCACACCAACATAATTGCTTGTATGAACTACTTTAAAAGGATTGGATTATGTGCAGGCGGGCCTGTTGTCCATACAGAGCGAGTATTTAAAACACTGAACTTACATTCCCATACATGTCCACCAGCAGAGACGTTACAGCTGGGCCAAACATCTGCAGCTCAGGGTCACAGCTGCATCCAGGAGAGACATGTACAATACGTCCAATCAGGATCCAGCGAGGTGTTCAGGACTTGAGTTAGTCCTGAATACGACACGTGTGTTGTGGTCACGTCTGGTTACTATGGGGGGGCGGGCGCAGTGTGAATTAAAAAAAACACTTGGACACTGCGAGCGTAATGGAGGTTTTTGACGGCGCTCCCACACAAACGCAAACGAAGCCAAATGTGTTTCCAAACCAACTTCCTGCCAAAGACTAAAACTTATGATGAATCTTGGTTTTGCTGTCGTCTGCACAGCAGCTGTTTGCAGAGTCGGATCCACGCTGTTGCGTCTCGTAACAGCATCTCCCAGAGAAACGGTTCATATCGATGGTTGCGTGTTAGCGTGCTCGCTGCTGCTGCAGCACAGAAACACGAGTGAGCAGCTGAGCGTCGTCTGCATCGAGGTGTTGAATCCTGTAACCTTTTCGTTTTCTCCTTTCAGGTATTTCTGCTTGGATCACCGTCAACTTCCTCACAGGTGAGAGCGCTCACCATCGTGTCTGTTTAGTGCAGCAGGGACGCGGCGTGTGCTCCCGTGCTCCCAGCTGATGCTTTTAGGTTTTGTATGAACCGTCCTGTCATTGGGCGTCTGGGGTAGCCGTGTCATTGGCGTGTTTGGGCTCTGAGTCTTCAGGGGACGATGGCGGCGTGGAGTTTGCACGCGCTGCGTCTTCATCGATCCTCTTCTTTGGTCATGTGATCATGCCGTCAGAAACTCCACCCTAACCATGAGGCTGGATGTTCACGCCCACGACTGAACGTCAGGGTGAAACCGCCACCTCGTGTTCCCAAACAGATGACCTCTGTCCTCTCAGAAAGCCCCGAACCTCATGTTGGTCCTCACAGAGGCGGGCCTCCACGTAGCATGAACACTGGGTCCATTTTTAACACGGCGGCAGGAAGTGGATTGGTGTGATTTATGATGCGTGTGTTTCAAACCAGATTAATGTGCACAAGAAACGGTGATTACCTGTTATTGGATTAAACTGCAGCTCGCTCTTCCTCCTAATCTCCCCTCCTCCCTCTCTCTCTTTTCAGGTGGTCTTCACAGTGCTCACTCGCCCACAGTGGGGATGCTGGATTTGGGAGGTGGGTCGACTCAGATCACCTTCAGCCCTCAGGACGAGGTGAGGACTCACACAGGTGAAAGGGTGAGGAAGACTAAGAGAGGAAGAGCTCTGTCCCCTCAGTCAAACTACCAGGATGGCTCCGTCTTAGGCTTTAATCTGGAAACGCCTCGCTAATCCCAAATAAACAGCCTCACATCAGGCAGGGGAGGAGAAAGGGAGTGAAGAGGGGTCTATTTAGGTCAGGCTTCGTACACGAGGGATTGGCCAGTTCTTCTTCAGCCTGTGAGAGGAGGGGGGGGGCGGGGGGGGGGTGCAAACGAGGAACTGAGGCAGCAAAAGCTCCAGATGAAGCTTTCTTCTTACTGACAGCATCAGCAGGAGGAAAAAACCCACCCGGTGTTTGAGAGTACAACACACAGAGCTGTGCAAAAGTCTTGAGCCACCCTCAGGCTCTGCTGAGCAGCTCTCGAGCTTCCTGAAGCTCCTTAAAGTTCTTCTGTGGCTGCTCTTCCTCTCCTGTTCAGTCCTTGTACCGGACCTTTCTCACAGGAATGACAGTGAATCCCACACACCTGAGCAGAGGTGCAGTTAGTTAGCATCAGCCTGCCACACAAACTCATCATCTGTTCCAGTTTCTTTACCAAATCTGTCAAAAATGCCAACGATATCACAGCTTCTCATAAAAACAGCATTTTGTCTCCAACACGGTGATTCCAAAGAGCTGTCAGCTGAAACGCTGCACATCTCAGCGTGGTGTCAGTGTGTCCTCAAAACCCTGAGGAAAGTGGACAGAAGAAGCTTCCTGTTCCAGCATGACAACGATGCAAACACACTGTCAGTGAAAGCACACCTGGATCTGATAACACACAGCAGGGCACCATCAGTCACGGATGGCAGAGCCGCCCTCAGCAGGACTGAAGCAGTGTGGGATCATCCTGACAGAAGAAGAAGCCTGGAGACGTCTTCCTGGAGACGTCTTCCTGGAGACGTCTTCCTGGAGACGTCTTCCTGAGGATCCTCACAGAGCTGACAGACAGCTGCTCACACCAAATACACACACTCCGTGTTTCCATGTGTGTGTACTGTATTCACATGTATGTTTGCACAGTACTGTCAGGAAAAATAAGCAGCAGATTGATTTTCTGTGTGGATTTGTCCCACCCAGCGTGGAAGCAACACTCGAAGGAAGTCGTCTGTTTTTAGAGCCGACCCAGCAGAAACCTGAAGTTCTTTTCTTTCTGTGCAGAAAACCATCCAGACCTCACCTATCGACTACATCCGGACCTTCCAGATGTTCAACCACCCACATGTGGTCTACACTCACAGGTACACACACTCACACTGTGCCTGTGCTGATTGGCCGATGTGAAGTCAGCTGGTGGGTCACACAGCTGTCAGTCAGGCTCGCTGACATGATCGAACTCGTCGAGTTTCCGGTTTAATCGTCGTGTTTGCTGTTCGAGTCTCAGCAGCGACGTAAACACGCAGGAACTGATTGTGAGCTTAAAAAGTTAAAAATCTAAAGAAGCAGGAAGAACCGAACATGTCGGGTCAGACACATTCATTTTCTGATGATCAGCTGATCGATTATTGACTATTGATGTGCTCTCTCTGCAGCTATCTGGGTCTGGGCCTGATGTCGGCTCGCCTCGCCATCTTGGGAGGCGTCGGTGCCTCGCCCCGTACGTACCTGACCTGTTTTCCTTTTTCTTGTTTTTCAGTTTTCAGATTTTCATCTCAGCCTGTTATGCCCCCGCCCACCCACCCACCCCCGCCCTGCAGATAAATAAGCCATTATCTAATCTTTTAATAACACACTGCAAGATTAATTCCTTGCTGGCCAGCTGTTGCTGCGGTTTAACTGCTGCAAGAAGCTGCAGCTCAGATCCTCTCTGCTGTCGGGCTGTTTATGTGCACGCAGGCGTCGCCGTGTCCGTGGCGGTGTCGCCGTGTCCGTGGCGGTGTCGCGTTCAGGCGTCCTGCTCGCACCGTTTTAACCACACATCATATATTTGTGACTTTTTGGAAAACTGCTGTAGCAGACTGACAGGAAGTGTGTGCAAGCAAACTGCTGCAAACATGAGCCATCGTCACTGTAATAACCTCACCGCTGCCTCTGCTGGGGGTCGGAGGAACTGCAGGGCGCGTCTGTCTGCCAGTGCTGTGTCGTTGTTTTACTGTTCGCAGGTTTGAGATGAGATAAACAAACGTGTGTGT